AAAAAAAAAAAAAAATCAACCGTCTCACATCTGGTTCATCTGTGCACTTGCTTGGGGCCTGGTATCACTCTTCCTCAGGTAGGCCATCTGCAGGGTGGGGAGTGGCAGATATGTGCTTCTGGGGGCTAAGCTGGTGACGTCAAGTAGGCTGTGGTGGCCAGTGAGCACATGTGCCCTAAGCACCCTGGAGAAATGAGAGCCCTAGATTTTTCCCCAGAAGCAGAAACCTTGATTTTTTTTTCCAGCTTAATATGAGGGTACAGACAATTCAGTTAGTTACATTGTTTGTGTTTGTTAGGTAGAATCCAAGTTGTAGTTGTGCCCCTTACCCAGGAGGTATGTGGTATACCCTTACATCGTGCCTATTAGTTGAGAGGACACCAAGAAATCCTGATTTTTATATAAAATTTCCTATTTTAAAATGTTGGCAAGCAATTTATAATTTGAGAACATAATCTAGGTTAAAGAAACCAGTGAGCTGCTTTCAGCCCCAGGGCTCCCATTTGGAGCCCCTGAGGAGTGAGTAAGGGATGAGTGAAGCTGCAGCAGGTAGGTGTGTGGGCTGCAACCTACAACCTGCAGGAGGGACCCAGCCACACTGAAGCGGGAGTGTCATTGACACCGCCACGTGTGACACAGGGTCCAGCCAGAGGGTGGGCTGGGGGTTTCTGAAGCAGGTGCCTCCCATATACCTGCTAATGCCTTCATAAGGGCAGACAAGAGAGATGCCAGGGGATAGACTGGGATCAGGTGAGCCTGGTTTTCCTGGGGCTTCCAGGGGGTTTGTTTTTGTTTTTTACTCACCACCATACTAATGAGGAGGGTTTTCCAGTTTTAAATCTGAAAGTCCCAGGCTGGGCATAGTGGCTCATGCCTGTAATCCTAGCCTTTTGGGAGGCCAACGTGGTGGATTGCTTGAGCTCAGGAGTTGAGACCAGCCTGAGCAAGAGTGAGACCCTGTCTCTACTAAAAATGGAAAAAAAAAAAAATCTAGCCCGGCCTGGTGGTGGACAGCTACAGCTACTTGGGAGGCTAAGGCAAGAGGATTGCCCAAGAGTTTGAGGTTGCTGTGAGCTATGATGATACCATGGCACTCTGCCCAGGGAAATGGAATGAGAAATGGAATGTTTTTGTCTCAGAAAAACAAAATCTGAGGCTCAGCGCCTATAGCTCAACCTGCTAAGGCGCCAGCCACGTACACCTAAGGTGGCGGGTTCGAATCCCCAGCCTGGACCCGCCAAACAACAATGACGGCTGCAACCAAAAAAAATAGCCGGGCGTTGTGGCGGGCACCTGTGGTCCCAGCTACTTGGGAGGCGGAGGCAGAAGACTCGCTTGAGCCCAGGAGTTGGAGGTTGCTGTGAGCTGTAATGCCACGGCACTCTACCCAGGGGGACAGCTTGAGGCTCTGTCTCAAAAAACAAAAACAAAAACAAAAAAACCCCAAAATCTGAAAAAAAAAAAAATAGCTGGGCATTGTGGCCAGTGTCTGTAGTCCCAGATACTCGGGAGGCTGAGGCAAGAGAATTGCCTAAGCCCAGGAGTTGGAGGTTGCTGTGAGCTGTGATGCCACAGCACTCTACCGAGGGTGATAAAGTGAGACTCTGTCTCTACAAAAAAAAAAAAAAGAAAGAAAAGAAAAGCAAAATCTGAAAGTCCCACCTCCTGGGAACCCCCTTAGTCCAAGTTAAACGATGATGGTTGGTCAACCTACCTAGATCCCTGCGCTCAGCATGTCCCCAGCCTACTGGAGGTTAATAATGGAAGCTGAAATTTGTAGGCTTATTAAGTGCCAAATACTATATATGACCTATGTTGTTTCCCTATCATCTTAAAACATGGTATGAATTTATTCTCTCCTGTCTGCAGCTGAGGAGGCTCACAGTGAAGTGAGCAGCCCTGGGCAATGCTGGCCTAGGATTTGAATCTGTGTTGTGTGATGCAGCACTCTCAAGCTCACCACCCTTTCCGGCCTTTCAGCCTGAGCCAGCCAGGACAGCCTGAGCCCTAGAGAAGGCCCTGGTCTTAGGCCTCTGGAGCTTACCTGGGGGCAGGTCCAGACAGGATGGGTTTTTGTAGGTCTCAGACCCCCCACACCAGCCGTCTCGCTCTTCTCTCTATACTTTTGTCCCCAGCTCCTGAACAGAACAATCAGAAGCTCTCAGGGGACGCTGAGTTAGCACAATACCCTAATCCTTTGGTCCTTGCACCCTGGTGCCCACTGCATGGACAAGGGAGGAGGCTGGCGCTTAGAAAATAAACGCTCGCTGGTGATTTATTGCTTGGGTTGGGGAGCCATCCAGGGCAGGTGTAGGTAAGGGAGCAAGGCCTGAGTATCCTGGGGAATCTCTGGAGGCCACTGAGCCAGTCTTTCAGGGGTTGCTGTGTAGGAGTCTAATCACAGTTGGAGCCAGCATGGGCCCGGCGTGTTGTGAGGTGACTGGTCAAGTAGCGCATTGCAGAGCGGATGCCCTCCACAGTCCTCCGCTCCACTGTCTCTAGCATGTGGGTGACAGAGCGTAAGGCTGAGCCGGTGCCAGAAGCCAGCCCAGAGGAGAAGGCTGAGCTGGCGCTGCCCAGGATGCTGGAGACTGAACGCAGGCTGGGCCCCGGGCTGTGCAGCATATCTGCCACAGTGTCGCGGCCAGAGGCCAAGAAGCCTGTGGCCATGCCCATGCCCATGGTGGTCTCAGACCACACCAGGATGTCTGCCAGGGAGCTTATGGAGCCCTCACCCCCACCTAGCAAGCTGGTCATGGATCTCATGTAGTTGTTCTCCTCACTGGCCATGTACAGGTTGGGATCCAGGGGTGTCCTCTCCAGGGCCACCTCCTGGGGGCTGGACAAAAGGGAGACACTGTTTTCTGGGGAGGGATAGTAAGGCGGAGTCTGCCACTCTCCTGAGGTCACCAGGTCCTCTGTCACTGTCTGGAACTCATCCGATGACGAAGAAATTTTGGTGTTGAAGCATAAGGCCTTTGGACTCCCAGATTTCTTCTCAGCATCCTTAGTGGTACTGGTGGCCTGAGGCTCAGGCTGATCCTGGGTGTCTCTACTGGATGTATCTGTATCACTCACAGTGGGCTGACTCTGGATAGACTCAGAGCCTACCGAGCCCTCAGCACTTGAGGCATGTGGAGCTAATTCTGGCTCCGTGTTGGAAATGCCCTCCACTTGGGGTGTCTTTTCCTTGCTCAGGGAGTGATGTGGGAGAGCCACCATACTGTGAGTTGCCTTTGAGTCTTCAACTACCCTGTCCCAGGTTTGGTCCGGGAGGCTCGTGGACACTTGCAGGTCAACTGAGTCTTGCCTGGGAAACAGAAATGTCATCTTTTTAAGCATCTCCTGGCTCCTGCCAGGAGGAATTTCATCCTGGTGTATGTCTCCAGACAAGGATGTGACTGTC